TCTGTGGGTGAAATCGCCTATAATTATTTTTACCCATATAGTGCTTTCAAAATGTGGGAAATTCTTATTAAATATGTCTAGATTTCGATTTCTCTTAAAAAATCAGAAAATCTGGCAATTCTGAGTCTCTCCAGCCACTTCTCACAGTGGCATTATTAAGCCTGGAGCTGAGTGATCACCTAGTTTCCATAGACTGAATATTGGATGCTCTCCAAAATTCATATCTCCAATGTGTTGGTATTTGAGGTGAATTTTTTTTAGGAGGTGATTAGGTCAGGGAGGGCAGAGGCCTCATGAATGGATTAGTGCCCCTATAAAGAGACCCTGGAATGCCCTCTCGTTCTTCCACAGAAACACAGTGTGAGAAGATGCTGGCTCCCTTCTATGAACCAGGAAGTGGGCCACAAGACACCAACTGCCAGAACCCTGATCTTGACTTCAAGCCTCTAGAATTGTGAGAAATGCCAAATTTGTTGTTTATAAGCTGCCCAGTCTATGGTATTCCCTGTTATAGAAGCCCAAGGGACTAAGACAATAATAGTTCTCATCACTTGTCACTACTTTTACACTTAACTTCCAGACCTCTTCCCATTACATGCCTGTAAGAATTTGGGATCCCTGTTGCAGCCAAGTACACCTCCACAACAGTAGAAAAGGGTCTTTCACCTTTTGGTAAATTATGGCATTCAAGTTACTATTCTTATTGAATGTGTTTTGAGGACAAGATTTATTAATAGTGAGGGAATACAGCACCCAAGGAGAGCCTCTATCTGTCACTTTGGATGCAGACCTTGTGCTACAATAACAAGAGAATGGGAAAAGAGGAGGAATGGAGAGACTAGGTTGGTCTATTGTAAAGAGGAGCTGGGAAAGAGATGACCAAAAAAATGGGCAAGGGAAGTCACAGTTCACGGGTGAGTTCAGAGTAAGTTTCAGGTGCAAGATGTTGAGAAGGTAAATTTTTTTTTTAATTGCTTATTTATTTGAGACAGAGAGAGACAGAGCGTCTGACCCAAAGGCCAGAGAGAGGGAGACACAGAATTGAAGCCTGCTGCAGGCTCTGAGCTATCAGCCAGAGCCCGATGCGGGCTCAACTTACGGACCGAGAGATCATGATCTGAGTCAAGTCGGGTCGCTAACTCCACTGAGCTACCCAGGCTACCGAGAAGGTAAATTTTTAAAAGCATTGTTATCAGATAATTGATCCTCATTATGGAAGTAAAAAGATGTGCACATATGTGTATCCCCACAGAGACTGCACCACTTGGGGACTCCAGCTTGTACTAGGATGCCATGGGAGAGAGACCAGCACACTTTCTCCATACACAGAACCATTGTTGGCTCACTCATCCAGATAAAATCCTCATGTTCTTCCTTTCTCCTCCTCCTCCTCCTGCTTCCACCTCCTCCTTTTCCTCCTCCCTCCTCTTCCTCTTCCTTCTTTTTTTCTTCCTCCTCTTCTCCTTTTTTCCTCTTCCTCCTTCATATTTCCTTCCTTCTTCTTGAACCATCACATTTTCCTGGTTCTGGGATGGTTTTAAGGGAGCTGTCTTTAACTTGCATTTTTTCTAAAACCTCCTGAATAGACTCCTTTCACTGGACTCATCCGCCACTAGTAGATTATTCCTGCTGGCTCGCTATTATCTTCTTCATTTAAGGAAGACTGGATGTCTTGATCTTCTCCTTCCATCTTCTTCCGCCAGCCTGATGACCCTTGTTCCTAAGTGCCACTGTCTTCACTTCTGCTCTGCTTCCACTTGATTTGTTTATTCCTCCTCCGTTTTCATACTTCCTCCTTGAAGAGGCTTTTCCTGTGCTTGTTGATCAACCCCAAAGCACAAGTGAAAAATGTTACCATATGTCATTTGATTGGGCCTTACTTGGCCAACAATGTACAGAGGTGAAGTCAGAGAGGATCAGACTTGAATTAATAGTGTTACCTGGTTCCCTTGAATTTGAAAATGACTTCCCCATCCAAGCAAAGAAAACACAGGACACTGAGTGAAAGCAGCACTGCCTTCCCAGCCACTTAAGGGCATCTTTAAGCAAAAGGACCCATCCTCCCTTCATCTGATACAGGCCTTGATTACTTATTTCACTGGGATATATTCCCAAACTAGGGAATCAGTTTTCTTTAACTTCCGGCAGGTTAGCAAATCTTTTACTAACAATAGGTGTTAATAAATAAACTCTCATTCTGACATTTTGGTAGTGATCTGGGGCAAGAGCAAGAAAAGTATAAATTGAGAGATGCAAACAAAGGAAAGGAATCTGCTGCTCCCAGTGCTGATGCGTGAACATGGGTGAATGAACATTCATGACCTGGGGAAACTCTTCATTAACCCTATAAATTCTGAATGAAGTCACGAATGTCAGTTGTGGGCTACAAAATGAGCAACATGACACAGTGTGGGGCTGAAAGCTTGCAGTCTGATTTGAATCCCAGCTCTTTCAAGCTGAGTTACCCCGGGCTGTCTTAAGCCCAATACCCAGTGTGTCCTCCCTTTTGTGACACGAGATCCCATGGTACCTAAAACTTTAACCCAAAGACAACCAGACTGATCTCAAAGCTTAGATGGTAAGCCCACCCTTGTATAACTTGAGTCTACCCAATCAGGGTACCATATGAAGCATTACTAACAAGTGGAACAGAGCTCCATCCAGAGAAGCGATTTCTCTGAGGGATCTGTATCCTAATGAGAAAAGCCTCATCTAGTTTCAGTGTTAACCACAAGTATTTTGTGTCTGGCCACAAGACCAAGCTGGGTGTGGGAAAAAAAGACAAACTCTAGGAGTGCTGGACCAGGACACATTCCAGGTATTCATACATTTACCCAGGGAGCATTCATTGTGTCTGAATCATGCAAGACACTGTGCTAAAGGCACCGAAGCTGAATCGTACTAGTGAGGTGTACCTGCCCTTCAGGAAATACCCACTCTGGATGCTCTGTAACTGCTGTATTTGACTGCAATAGATATACAAAACACATCCAGACAGAGAATGCCTGAATTCAGAGCCCTTTCAACCTCTTTTAATCTAAGCAAGAGATGGTCTCTTTAGAAATGCCTCTAGCTTCTTCCTCCTGATTTCCTGGCAGATTCTCGGGCAGGAGTTAAGGAAGGTGTTCAAAGTTGATCAGAGCTAGAAGATATCTCTCCCTTTGCTCTTTGGTGAGGCTGCCTTTTTGCAGCCCCTGTCCATACCTGTTCAAAGATCTCACTCTAACATAGAAATGTTGGCTAAGGTGAGCTGTAGGGAGAGCTGAGTTCTCTCAGTGTGAGCACTGGGTACCCATCACTTCCTTTATCAGGTCTCTGTGGAAACACTCATACCTGGGGGTGGGAGGCAAGAACTAAGTACTGCACTTGACAAAGGCACTTCATATCTGTGAATGGTCCTTACAGAATTAGATGTACAAAGGCATGAAGACTTAAGGTAATTCACAGAGAACTGTTTTTACTATTGAGAACAATCTTAAAAAAGCTAATCAATTGGGAGATGGTTAACCATTATGAAATATTAAAGAATTTACATGGATATAGAAAAATAGATATTCGCAGTTATAGATCTATT